ATTATTCCACGAAACACTTGAAACGTACTTTAGTAAACCTTAAGGTACTACAGTCTACTCTAAAAAAAAAAAAAGTTTTGTCTTGATGGGCAGTTTTAGCTACTTGGCTATTTATCACTGATGAGCCAACATATGGGAGAGGAAAACATTGACTTTCATAATGTCTAGTTAGAGATTAAGAGTGAAAAATTAAGAATGAAAACAAAAGCCCAATTAAAGGCATCCCTTTCCCTTGATATTTCTAACATACTTAGAAGATGAAGATAATCTTGCAATGGCAAATGAGTTTAAAAGTTGTAAATGTTTTCTTTCTCTGTAGAATGTTCCTAATCCAGCTGTCTATCTGCATATTTGGATCTGAGCCCAAATGTCAGTCCTCAAAGAGGTCTTTCCCTCTTTTTTTTTGAGAGAAGTTTTTGCTATAGGGTGTGTGCGCTCGCCAGACAGAGAGAGACATAGAGACAGAAAGTGAGAAATCACCCCCCGGGGGGGGATGGTCACGCCGCAATCCCTTCTCCTCCATTCTCCTCTCGGGATCTTGGGCACGCACGCACACGCGCCCGGCGTGAGTTTTAAGCCACCGGGTCTGGGATGCGAAACACGGTCAACTACGTGGGAGTCCAGCGACATAGCCATTATGCTAACTGCTGGTTCCCCGAGGTCTTTCCCTCTTGCCACCCTAACTAAACTTAGTTTCCCCAACTTCAAACTTTAATAAACATTCTTTTAAAAAACTGCCAGAAGGTGCATATACTCAGCAGAGAAAAAGAGAAAGCACCTCCCAATGGGGTGTGGTCGTACTGCAATCATTTTTCCGACATTTTCTCCTTTCCTTCAGGATTTTGGGCAAACAAGAATACATGCCCAGCCTGGTTTTCAAGTTGCCAGGCACAAAATTTTAATCACGGTCAGCCAAGTGGAATCCAGGTCCCAATGTACACACTTAACTACTGTACTGGACTGGCCCAATATATTACAGTTTTATTTCACTTATTTGACTAACTGTACAATCAGTACCTAGAATGGTGCCAGACACAGGGTACATGCTCAACAATTACTTGGAGAATGAATAAACACTATTTTATCAAACTAGTTTTCTATATATTTTATATATATCTATTAGGGTTACATACATTTTTAACAGGAATAGGAACCAACATTCATTTTTCAGTGTGAAAACTAAACATGACATTTTATGACCTGATAATTGAAAAAAAAAAATGCAAAGTTGCTTTTGTATGTGTGCAATAATGTTAAAACATGTCAATAACTCTTAACTTCAACTCAAGGAAAAGGTACAACTTCTAGGGATTTGGAGTAAATAAAGTAAAAAACCATGCTGAAAATATCTTTCCAATATTAATGAGACAGAGAGCTAGTCACATGTCTAGAAAATAACAAAACCTATTCAAAGTTTTGAAAAAGCCTCAACTTTTGAAATAAGTTAAATCAGTTAAAATTCAGCTAACTGAATATAAAAACTACTCTAGAGTTAACAGAATAACTTTGAGATGTTAAATGACAAAGGAAAGACTTAAAAAACTGAAGCAAATTCTTACAAATATTAAACAGTACATCCCTTGATATTAGAGTAAAAAAGTGACTTCTAGAGCTTCCACTTTTTATTTACTGTTCTCATTATTATTATGTACATTAGATAACAGTTCTTATGTACCTATATACTGCTCAAAGTTAAACTGTAGTAAGTAAACTAATGAAAAAATAGACATGGGAGTTTGAGAACACTTAATTGCAGAACATTTAATTAGAAAAGTGGAACTAATTCTGGGACAGAATTATACAGAATGCAGCTTTAATGTCTCCACAGCTGCTCTACTACCCAACATTCCAGAATCTGGCTTAAGATATCTATACAAAGATTGTTTAATTTATAACCGAAAAGAGCTCAAATTTTCACCATATTCTCCACGTTATCTTTAAGGCAACCAGAATGATTTCCTTACGTATATTCTTTAAACATATATAGTTAATCTTAGCTTGACAAAAGGCTTTTAAAAATTTATTTTACTCACAATAACATATACACACGCATGAGAGAAAGACAGACAGAGGAAGGGAGGGAGGGGAGAGAAAAGAAATAAAGCATTTCAAAAGGGTCTCATCATACCACAACCTCCTACTCCTTGCTGTTCAGCTCATCTGGATCTTGGGCACTAGAGCCCATCCAGGTATTCAAACCCACAGTCAGTCATGTGGCTCCCCGCACTGCAGTTCAATTTGCTATCACCTATGCCCCTAGGCTGGGCCTGTTTGTTTGTTTTAATCAGAACTTCTCTAGTACCTGATTTCCACCTATGTTTATGCTTTCTATACATAACAACTTCAAAATGACATTAGTGTAAGAAACGTAAGACTTCCCATTTTTAGGAGACATAACCTATTTTCCAAGTAAAAAGAGCAACAAAATTTTGGTGGACAAAACAATCACGCAAAGCTTTCAAAGCTTTCTACACAATAAACTTGCCTGATATAAAATACTTCTGCCTGATATACTATGAAATGTTAGCTTCAAATTCCAAAATACTGAGAAATAAGAACCTAATCAATAATACCTAATTATTTACCAAGCAGCCATTAATTCAAGTTACTAGTTCCTAATCACACTAACGGTTTTTCTAAATTGTATAAATTCGAGGTTTTAAACTTGCCTTAAAATTCTCAAAACATTCTTTATAAACAACAACAAAAAATCTTTTTTTGGGGGGTGGGGTGGGTGGGAGAGTTTTGCTATAGGGCATGTGTGCGCTCGCCAGAAAGACAGAGACAGAGACAGAAAGCAAGAAATCACCCCCCAGGGGGGGTGGCCACACCACAATCCCTTTTCCTCCATTCTCCTCTCGGGATCTTGGGCATGTACACACATGTGCCTGGCGTAAATTTAAGCCACCGAGTCCAGGACTCGAACCACGGTTTGATTACATGGGAGTCCAGCAACATAGCCATTACGCTAACTACTGGTCCCAACAACAACAAAAAAATCTTGAGAGTCCATTTTGTAGGACCAGCAGATGATGAAGCAGTTACATTGTTGTACTCCCATATGGCCAACTGTGGTACGAGTCCCATACCCGTGGCTTGAAAATCATGCTGGGCACGAGTGTGCATGCCCAAGATCCCAGGAGAACAGAGAAGGAACTATGGCACGGCCACCCCCATCTATCCCGGTGACTCACTGTGTCTATCTTTCTCTCCTTGGAGTGCACATGCCCTAAGGGAAAAATCTCTCAAAAAAAGAAAAATTTTTTTTACATCTATATGTGTATATACACACACTGTTTTAAAGAAAAAAATAGCAGGCTATAAGTGGACCTTAAAAATAAACTGATCATCTCTAAGCTATTAAGTAGGTTCCAGGAGTTGAAAACTAAATGTGTTGGCAAAAGCATACACAATTAATGAATTATGCTCAAAAGTATATTAGTTCCAGTTTTAAGAAGGATATTGTATGTTTGAATTTAGCACTGAAGACACAGCCAACAACTAGTAAAACAAATAATGTAAAGAATGAGCAAGATATCTAACAAGATACAGCATTTGCAGCACCAATCTGCAAAGTCAGAATAAAGTCTTCTTAAAAAAAGTAAGAAAAGTGAAATGGCAGACAGCAGAAAGCTTAGTGGTTACATCTCTGGACTCACACATGGTCATGGATCAAGTCCACGACTCGGTGACTTGAAAATCAAGCTGGATGCATGTCGCCCCAAGATCCCAGGGGGGAGAACGGAGAAGGGATTGTGGCATAGCTAGCCCCATTGGAGGGGTGATTTCTCACTTTCCCTCTCACTGTCTTTGTCTCTATCCTGTGAGTACCCACACCCTAAGATGAAAACCTCTTAAGAAAAAAAAAGAAAAAGTGAAAAGAGAGGCCAGTAGGGTATTGTGGTTAAGGTGCTGGACTCCCGCATGACTGACCATGGTTTGAGTCCTTTATCTGTTGGTTTGAAACTCATGCCTGTTGTGCATGTATAACCCAAACCCCATGAAGAGAATGGAGGAGAAAGGACTGTTACATGGCCATCCCCTCAGGGGGTGATTTTCTTTTCCTGTCTGTCTCTCAGGAGAGCTCATGTGCTCTATGGCAAAAACCTGGAAAAAAAAAAAAAAAGTGAACATTACCTTCCCTTCATAATCCGTACATGCAGAGATCATTCATTACATATATTTGATTTACTCAAACTCTGAAGAGTAATGGCCTAATGAGGGCCAGCAGATGGTATGGAAGTTAAGCTCACTGAATCCCACTTGGATAACTGCACAGCTAAGTTTGAGTCTCAGACCCAGTGGTTTGAAAAACACAATGGGTGTCCCTATGTGCATGCCCAAGAACAGAATGGAGGAGAAGGGATTTGGATGGGGGCCACTGCCTCATGTGTGATTTCTCATTTACTTTCTCTCCCCCTGTCTCTCTGGTGAGTGTGCATGCCCTATGGCAAAAACTTAAAGAGGAAAAGAAAAGGAAAAAAAAAAAAAAAGAAATGACCTAAAAACCCCATTTTTCATCACTAGGCTGAAATCTTACTTTTCTTGGCTTTATTCAAACCACCATTACAATTCGAATCTCCACTAGTATTAAGATTTTGAGTACACTTTACTCTGTATAATATATTCTGTATATTACTTTCCTCTTCATTACTTTATTTAAAAATCCAAAGAGCTGAAAAATCATAATAGAATGTCATTAATAATCTGATTCCCCATTATCAGATTTCTAAATAATGCCAAGATAGCCTACTGTCTAAACTTGCTGTCATTCAAATATGGTCTAACAATTTTAAGTTTTTACTGGGTAAAGTCACTTTCAAATGGGAATTAATACTGGGTCACTGGAAAAACATGGCATATTTTCTGCTTTTCTACGCAAAATTGCATCATGACTTTTCCAACAATGCAATATGAAATATCAGACTAAAGGTTATTCTATTTCATCAGATTATGAAATAGTATAATATACACGAAAGGAAAGAATGTCCAAATCTTACCTTTATCAGTTGTTACTTTTTCTGTACATCTGAAAGAAATATGAATCAAATATTTTAAAAGCAGTCTGTTAATACATAAATTATTATAACATAAATTATCTTTTAGGTTCATCTCCGAAGTAACATGGAAATCATCTAGAAAAAGTGTCTAAAAGTACTTTTGGAACAGCCTGTGTCACGGTGGTTAGGGCTACTACTGGGTGGTTGGGAAAGTCATGACGCATTTTCACACAGAAAAATCCGTCTTAACTTTTCCGACAACAATACATCCAACATGGGTGGATGCATGATGGGAGTCCCAGACCCAGAGGCTTAGGAAACAACACTAGGTGTGTGTACTCGCATGCCAAAAATACCCAAATGAGGGAGAGAAAGAAAACAAAGGACTGTGGCATGACCATCCCATGCTTTTCTCATCTTCCCTGTCTCTCCTGACGAGCCCACACGACTTTATGGCAGGAAAAAAAAACAAAAAATTTTTGAAATTGATGGAAATTTCTGTATCTTCAAAGTCAATATACATTGCATATAACTACTGAGCACCTTACATGACTGTTAATTGAACTAAATTAATTTTAATTAATGTAAATTCAAATATACACATGTGGCTATCATAAGGTGGAACTAGAATATCGTTCCAAACAGTTGTTGGTTTTATTGTTTTGTTTTGTTTTTAGGTTTTGCTATAGGGTCCGTGAGCTCATAGGGTGTTTGGGGGGGAGGGGGGATTATCTGGGGATGGGCAATGGGGTGAAGGGGAAAGAGGGAATGGTCAACCCACACCCTCTTCTCTGTTCTCCTGTTAGGATTTTGAGCAAAGGTGCACATGCACCCAGCAGGTCTGGGACTAGAACCACAGTCAGCCATATGGGTCAAGTATGTTAAACACCATGCCACCTACTGACTCCAAAACAGTTGTTTTAAAGGTAAAAAGATACTAATACAAACAAAAATATTGCCAATTGTGCTATATTAAGTGTTTTTACAGAAAATGTCCTTATTTTACACAAATGCAGTAACTATAGAGGTAAAATGGCAAAATTATTTTTACCAGACTGTAAGATTTCTAAAAAGAATGAAAAGTGGGCCAGCCCATAGAGTGGTGGTTAAGGCAGCTGGATTATGCATGGTTGAGTGTATAGTTCGAGTCCCAGAACCAGTGGCTTGGGAAAATGATGGGTGCTTGTATATGTATGCGTGTGATTGTCCAAAATCCTGAAAGAAAGAAGGGACTGCAGTGTGACTATCCCCCATGTGGTAGTGGTTTCTCTCCCCCTCTGTGTGTGTGCACATAACCTGAGGCAAAATTAAAAAAAAAAAGGATAAAAAGTCATGTGAAAATTTTAAAAAGTCAAAAAATGCTAGATAGACACACTCACAGATCTAGGTGATAAATAACTGGGTTTTCATCACACAATATCATATACTTTGTGTGTATATGACCATTCTCATAATAAAACTTTCATGAATCTTAGAGACCTCAAATTTGATTGTTAAATTCAAATCTCAATCTATTTCTAAGACCTATGCATTGTAGGCGGAACTTACAAATAAATATAACTTGCACTTAACAAATTAGATAGCAACAACAAAGAGCTTAACGAAGTACTATGGTCTACAGACATAAATTTCCATAGTTTTAATTTGAAAAAATGTCTATTCATAAATGATAAGTACAGGATAACAAATATCCCTCTATCTATTACCCTAATTCAAACAAACTAGATCACTGTCATAAAAATGCTCTGGCCTATAGTATCTCTGAGGATTAGGAAGTTTATTTATTTATTTATTTATTTAGTTGGTTCATTTTGGTTTTTGTAAATAAACCTAAAATGACTGAAGACCATTTTAGGTAACAAAATACAATTTCATTGTTTCTGTATTAGTAGAAAACATGGATATTTTAACTTTCGTATCGGAAAAAAATTGTTTCAAAAAACTACATCAGTATTACCACATTTCTTACAAAATATATTTAGTTTAAAAATAAAGAAGAAAGTATATAAATATCTACATTTGAAAAGTGAGGATTTTGGGACCAGCAGTTGGCGTAATGGCTGTGTTGCTGGATTCCCATGTAGTGACCGTGGTTCGCGACCCGGACCCAGTGGCTTAAAACTCACGCCGGGCGCGTGTGCGTGCGTGCCCAAGATCCTGAGAGCAGAATGGAGGAGAAGGGATTGCAGCGTGGCCATCCCCCCTGGGGGGTGATTTCTTGCTTTCTATCTCTCTGTCTCTCTCTGTCTCTCTGGCAAGCACACTCGCCCTATAGCAAAAACCTCTCCAAAAAAAAAAAGTGAGGATTTTAACGGTTACTTATTGGCTAAAACACAGTAAATGATTAGCTTAATTCTTACCATGGATACATACTTCTCTTCAAATTTGTTTTTCTTTCCTTACTACTAGCTTTAGATTTTTAGAATGATTCTAGCATTTAACTTCATGCCTTTCTCTTGAGCACATTCACTGAAAACTTTATTCCCTTCACTCTAGAGTATTTCTCACTTTTCCCATTAATACTGCAGTTGGCCATGTGGAACCCTTCAGCCTTAACCTCCATGCAGGTATGCTGGCCCAACCCAATGCTTTTTTCTCTTTATTTTGTCTTCTAATAGAAAAATAGGTTTCAGTCAATCCCAACTTAGTTGTTTACTGAAGCTATTGTACATTTTGCTATCTCTTTAATCAAAGCAAACAAAATGTAAGTTAAATAGCTGATTGCTAGGATTTCAGAGGTTTGAAAGGGTAGAGTACAGAAAAAGGACCTAAACGATACAAGTAATTAATGTAGATTAAATTTCTTACTTCCTTTTTTATAACTGTCATAAAGCTACTTGGAAAACAGTCAAGGTCAGAAGACACTAGACCAGGGTTCAGGAAACTGATACTCAAAACCTCCTGAAATGCCATAAGGATTAAATTAAGTGGAAAAATTGGTTTTAAAATTCATTTTGTCACTGCAAATATAAAATCATGCACCATGTGCAACAATTCACTAATCAATGCATTTTTACACTGCAAAGTCCTTGAAGAATTGTATCTCATTTATTTTTTCTACTGCCTAGCTCAGCACAGCACAGGCCCAGTTACCACTCAAACAAGGTTTGCCAAGCTCAAATACTTTAGAACATCTTTGATTTGCAGGCTATACCATAAACTAAAAACGTGTTTTAAAAAAAGGGATTTTTAACTAATCAAATTGTATAATTTAAAAAAACTCTGAGGCTGAAAAAAGGTAAAAATACCATTACTGCTATTATCTGAACCTGTGATCTGCCATGTAGCTTGGTTTACAGCACTGCAGTATGGTACACTAGCACCTGTGTCCCCTCAGCTGGGCCTCATTACTGACTTTTACACTAGTGGGTAAGAGAGGCGAGTCATTAAGAATTAAGACTATTCCTTCCTCCCACAAGGAATAGTGCAGGGAAAAAACCTGATGAGGATTTAATAAAAAGCACTGTCATCCAAGCTCAACTATTTTAACGTTTGTATTGTGCACATAAAAAGACAGTACGTTTTTGCCAAGAGTTAGGAAAAAATCATGGCAGGAATTAAAACACATATTTAGTTATCAAGTGATACACAGGTATATTAAGTATCTCCAGTGATACTTTAAGTTTAAAAAAATTGTTTTAAGCATAACTTCCCTATGTGTGAATAATTAAAAAATTTTTTTCAAAGTTTACATAAAAACCACCATCACAATCCGCTTATTAACTACAGCATGCCACCATTACTCAAAATGGTAACTTTTACTTCTCGTATTTTATTTATGTACAAAGCATTGTGTCAAGTGCTTCATATGCTGTATTTAATTCTTATAACCTCACCTTTTAGGGATTATACCCCATAGGTAAGAAAACAAAGGCACAGGTAGGTTAGGGAATTTGCCCAAGAAACTTGAATTTAAACAAGATTAATGATATCTTTCAATTTTATGAATATATAAACAAATATAAAGTTTAAAATTTCTGTGAAACAAAATACATCTGCAGCAATTAGAATTCTAACTGCAGCTGAACAATTTAAGTACAGGTTTTTGTTGTTCACAGAACTGTATTAAGTTTTTGAATTATGTTAACTTAAATGACACCCCAAAATTTGTAAGCACATCTGTTACAATGACAACTTTGAATTTCATTCCTCTTTCTGAGAGTTTTCTACAACAATCACGAAAAGTCACTCAGAATTCTGACAAGTCTATTTCAAGTTTTAAACCAACTAAGACTTTTATAAGCCAAACCTTACCACTATCTCTACCGGGGCACTTAAAAACTGACTTTCTCTTATTCCCTCCATTTTCCCAGATTTTACTCATTTTTTCTCTTGGAAGTCAAAGGACCCAAATGGTGTTTTCAGTAATGAATTCAATAGTTACATAATTAAATTCTACAAATTACGAACTTGTATGCTTGAAAATTCTTAACCTGAAAGCATTATTTTAATAAGCAGTTTTAAGATATTTATGGTTCTGGCCATCTGTCCTTGGTGGTAATGAAGAAATTCCTTTCAGATCAATCTAAACTTAAGGATTAAGGTCCTACATTCAAATATATGCAAAAAACAACAACAAAAAAGTGTACTACTTGTAGAAATAAAAACTAAACAGTAACTAAATTTTCTTAAAGACGACACTTAAAATCTGCAGAACCACGTTTTTATCTTGACCACGAGTAATCGGATTTCCCGAAAGTATGAAAAATGATGTGAAAATTTAAGAGTGAAAAATGCTACATAAACATACAGGTTCAACTGGCTCTTGGTAAATGGCAAAAGGAGGGGACACATCTCTGAAAGCTAGGATCCTGCTGTTGATTTCCTAATGGGGATGTGATGTAATACTGGAGAGCCGCCCAAGGGAAAGGCATAGGGTGACAAAGGGGAGCAGATGCCAAAGTGAGGGACGAACTTGCAGGCGGCAGGGAAGAGGTGTACAGGACAAAGATGATTTCTGGGAGAAGGGCAGTGGGACGACAGATGCCAGGGCAAGTGAAAACGCAGAAGGGCGAGATCGCAGGACTAAGTGGGAAACGGTGTGTCATCTGGTGTGCGGAGCCGGCAGGGGGCAGAGCAGGCAGGATGTCACGTGGAGTGGGCGCTACGGGAGCCGAGAGGGTTGCGTGAGAACAGAGGGGGGTCTTTCCCACCGCCTGAAAGATGCGTTACTCACAGGAGTCGCGGACTCTTCTTGCCCTGAACTGGAGAAGGGGGCTTCGCGGCCTGGGACTGCTGCCCTGGGACGTCGGGAGGCCTGGCGCTGGGGCTGCTCCTCCGCCGGCGGGGATACTCGGCCTTCCTCCGACGGGACACCGCGGCAGCAGCGGCGGCCGCTGAGAATGATAAGAGAGACAGAAAGAGGGAACGTGTGAAAGTACTCCCAGGGGGGTTGGCCGCCGCCGCCTCTCCCCCTTCCTGGTCCTGCTGCTCCGAGGGTCTCGGCTCTTCCGTCTCCCCCGGCATTAGGGCTCGTCCGTCCCCCACCCCCTTGTCCCAGG